ACTCAATTTTATAGGATTATTAAAAATTTTTTGACCGTCTGTGAAACGAGATATTAACAATGAAATTGTGCATAATTAACAGTTTAAATTAAATTAAAAAGTTACACAATTTTCTAAAAAAACGTTGAATTTTTTGACCGTTTTGGTAAAAAGATAGATTTTTAAAAGAAAAATATGTTTAAAGCAGTCGACGCGTAGTGGGGTACAATGATTACAACTTGGCAACATTGTTAGTTCAGAATCACTGAATTACACTCGATCAGCTAAGAGGTTGTTATAACCTCGTGAAGTGTTCTTGAAAAATTAATTTGTCTACTGTATTTGAGAACTGGAATCGACGCTTCTGTTTGAACCAAAACAAAACCTTAAAATTAGTATGAGGAAGTCACAAAATTTATATAGGTATACACTTGATATCGCACCATTCCTATATTTGTGACGTTGCCGGATGGATTTTACTTGAAATAATAACGTATCCGTACATAAGCTTACGTGTGTTGTATTCAGTATCCTACAAAAATAACATTTTTCAGCATTGAGAATCTCAAACTATTGGCGATATTTTTGTGTACGACCTTAATAATTACTACATGTAAAAAACTCATTTTAAATTGGTCGGTATTAGATACCATAAGTATTTAGTATATTTACCTGCAGTAAAATTGTTTACAATTCAAAACCCATTGGTTATATTTAGGCAGTACCCTGCGCATATGGGATCATTATTATGTTCCTCCATAATCCAAGGGGGTTTATCGTTTTCATTATTTTGTCTTGAAATTGTATCCTGATATTTCGAAAGAAGAGTCACTTCCATGGTTTTATATTCAAAATTTTAACTGACAGTTGGCAACGTTCTAACCATTTGCAATTATTATACAGGCTCCTTATAAGTGCGAATAATAAACAATATTTTCATATCAATTTGCTTCTAAATGCCCAATTAAACGAATACATGAATTTCTTAGAATACTGAAGACTTTTACGTAAAAATTATGATGTGATAGCTAATTGTACAAAAAAGGCTTACCAAAATATGAGTGGCATGCCACGACGCTTCTGTCAAAAATAAGGGTAGCTTAGATATTATATTTAAAAGGAGTTTGACATTATGTGTCCGTGTCCACCGCGACATTTTCAGATCTATTGTGGGACTCCGTTTGTTTTAGAGTATGTCATCTAAGCTTGGACTTTTTTATTAGACTTATTTTCCTTGACAGTGGCATCCACATGCATGTAGTTATATGTGTCTGGCTTTTCTTCATCTAGTATAAGAAATCTCAATCTAGTTAGGCTTTTACATTGGTGCAGGACGTGGATTGATGTTTCCTTCTCTAATTCAGAGAACCCGAATAAATTAAAAAAAAAAAAGAATAAATTAGAAAATATCTTAGAATTTAAAAATAATTTAATTTTGTAAAAGAAGTGAAAACTTACTTTTTAGAAGATAAAAATAAATAAATACCTTGGGAGATTCTACTTCTAGTACACACCAACTACGGTTGCTTATTACATTGTTCTTACTTCTTTTTTGCAAAAAAAGTAAAATGTATACGTGTATTTGATACGCCAAAATTACAAAATATCGCCCTAAAGTGGTCGAATTATCTGCAGCTTGCGCTAGTATCGCTTTTGCTTCCCCTACCATAACTTATTCGCACTGAGCGAATATAATCATCATACGTTCCCACATATACATTTTCTATACTACTTCTCTCAACGAAGTACGTACTAAAAAAAATTCTAAGTTTTCAATAATGGGTTTAGTATAATCAAAAAAGTTTACTTTGTGTTTATTAAACTACAATTGGGAGACAACAGTTCTAAGCTATTTTTCACAGTATTTTAGACCTCAATAACACTTAGTTTCAGAAACGAATTGTTTAACTAGGTGCAAGTAGACGTTTGCAATAAATACTTATAAATTACCTTTTACCTATATCAATCCGAAAGTATGTATATAAAGACACTTGTTTACTTACTCTATTAGCAAAACATTGGATTTCAAATAAAATGTTCGATTTTATTATAGCTAAATAAATCTTCATGTGAAAAGTGATCTGAACAAACTTTGGCATCTTTTAGTTTTGAGATCTTGCTCATTTATTTTCAAGTTGTTCAGCCACAATGACATTGGACAATGTCTCTCGGAAACGTGTAAACATATATATCATAAAATAGCCAGTTTCTACAATTAGGTATTTTTATATCAAGAAATCCAAAAAAAACCCTAGCACAGTTGTTACGCCCATGGATATCTACATTATTTACATTTCATGAGATTGATTTTGACATAACCTACCTGTGAAAATAGCAAGCATTGGTTTTGGGTGTTTTTGGTCAAAAATGTTCGGAAAACTATGCATCTCTTTACTATTTTGAAATGTATAATCACGTTTGTAAATAATTTCTTTCATATAAATAAATAAATAAATAAATAAATAAATAAAACAAGAAAATTTCACTAAAATAAAACACCGAATGACACTTTTAAAAACATACAGAAACAGGGTTGCCAAATGCCCAGTTAAAATATAGTATGTAATGGTTAAACCGATGGATCGTAGTGAACAAAATCTAAAAACATCTAATTTAAACACCGATTCAATGCAGAAGAAAATTAAATGAGAAATTTTATGAATATGATCCAGATTCTTAAATGAACTGTTAAATATTAAGCTCCATATTAAGTATTTCGAACCTTGAAACATTGGGAACTAATAATTATTATCCTTATACTTTTAACCGAAAGTGACACTGTGGCAACCTCTGCTGGTACCACCGTTTGTTGTGCATGCGATTGTGGACCTTATTATCATACAACAATTGTTTATGTAAACAAGGCGTATCTATTCCAATACATTATCGAATGTTGGAATGCCTAATTGGACATTCTAACGACCTGTCAAAGTGATGACAAGTGGGAACTGACGTTTAGATATGGCAAGCCTGTGGCGTGCTGTTATTGCCATGATCAATGATTATGAAGACTAGAGATAAGGATGCGAATCGACATACTCAAAATACGGTCCTAAAAAACGCACGCTAATTGATCTTTCATAATTAATCGCATGGGCGCTGGTACTGCTTACGGTGTTCAAAATACGTGGCTTCTTATACGAATTATACATAATTTTGTCAGAATAATAAAAATAAACTTGTTTGTAGCTAAATAAAGCGCAAAACATACTATTGTATTTATTTCTAAATAAGTCTTGCATGTTTTAATTGATAAATTATTTAATGTTATCTATATAAAATACAATTTAGGTAGGTATGACCAAATTCGAAAAGGTTTGTTAAATGCTGAAATTTGATAAGTACAATTTTGTGTCAAAATTTTTTTGAATTGAACCTATATATAGTTTTAAGAGCAAAATAAAAAAACATTTACAATAACACAATTGGGGTTCAACAAAAAATAACAGTATCAACTCTTTATCTAATATTAAAACTCTATAAAAAACAAATTTTCTTTTCTAGTCAGGATCTGACTGTAAAATTTTATATTATAGAAATTTGTAATAAAATAAACTACACTCCTTATGATACATATTGTGACTAGTTTACAATAAATATTATATTCAGACATAAATACATTATTTTATTTACATTAGAAGCTTTAAAAAGACATTGAATTGATTTCTCCCTGCAAGGCAATATCATGTACATTCCCAAATCTCCCTTTATGCTTGTATTATAACAATAAAAAATCTGTTAAATGTGTTTTATTTTGCTCATAAAACTATATTTATCTATAATTAAAAAAAAATGTAGGTACTTACCAAATTTCAACATTTAACAAATCTTTTCTAATTTAGTCATACCTACCTAATTTGCATTTTAAATAAATAAAATTAAAAATTTATCAATTAAAACATGCGAGACTTGTTTAGAAATAAATACAACAGTATATTCTGTATTTTATTTGGTAATAAACAAGTTTATTTTTATTATTTTGACAAAATTATGTAAAATTCCCATAAGAAACCATGAATTTTGAACAGTGCTATCAGTGCCCTTGAAGTGAATTAAAAAAGCTCAATTAGCGTTCGTTTTTTGGGACCGTATTTCGAGTAAGCCGATTCCTCTCTCCTTCTATCTAGTCTTCAAAGTACTAACATATATCTTGATAATATGGTAATCTGTTTTATCAGGTCGGTGGCTAACGCGCTTATATATTTATTTATAGGCAAGATTGGGATCAGAGACAGAGCGGTTTTGAATCCTACACCAGACCATGTAGATTTTTAATTAAATTGCATACTTCGTTATAGGATTTGATGTCGCGTGCCGTATTAACAGAAATTCAATTTAATCATTCAACCATGTTTCACTAATAATACATATAATATCGTAAGAAAAATCAGTACAACTTGGAAGTAACGATCTCATATTCAAATTTTCAGAACTTAATAATACATAATTTTTTCTTCTATTAGTTATATGAGAAACAAAAAAATAATATAAAACAATGAAAAAAAACAAAAGGTTTCCATCTTCTCAAATGTGGTCAATACAGCAACAAAATAATACACAAAATCATATACCACATAAAACTTAAGTTAAACTCCTCATTTTGCTACCTTTGACGTCGAAATGTTCTTCTAAATTTTCGAATTTTCTTCCCAATTACATATTTATAATGCCTGATGAGGGCGAATTAGCCAAAACGGTTGCCGTTTTACTTAAATAATAAATTTTATGTGGTATATGATATTGTGTATTATTTTGTTTGAATGAAACCTTTGTTGACCCATATCCAATGCCATCAATCATTCTTTTATATTGACTGTTTGACAAAAATGTTTTTAAAACAGACCATGGAAAAAAATATACATGTCGGAGCGTACAATTATATTTCTTTTTAAGTAACCGTTTGGAATAAATTCAGAAACATGCGTAGTTATCACTGACATAACTCGTATCTCTGTCTTTATTAGCTCTGGCCTACTTTAAAAACCTTTTTTGTGGATTAATCGTTACAATAAAACTTTTAGATGAAGAAGGAATTAAGCTGTTTGCATTCCATGGCAAAATTAATCAAGAAATGGATGGCAGGGAAGCTGGAACATTCTCTAGGGATATAGTAAAGCCTAAAAATGGTTTATGGACTTTCAGAGATACGGTAACAAGGTTGAAAGTTGGTGATATCATATATTTTTGGACCTACGTTGATTACTTCGATGGAACTAATAAATTAGGATACCCAAGAGACGATCAAATGTTTACAGTAACAGGTAATTTGCATTTAAATTTATATTATTATTAAAAAGAACACATATTTAACATTGTAGTCTGAGGATTTTAACTGAAATATTTTAAATTTGTTTGCTGCAGTTCTATGTAGTTTTATGCTAACGTTATTACTAAGAACGAACCAAAAATATATTAAAACTATTATAGAGATTCTAAAATTAAAACTCTGACCAAACAAGCCAAATCAGCTTAAGTGAGAGTGAATAGGAAACCGCATGTACCGTGCGCAAGGCAACAGAATAGGTAGGTAATGCGTTGCACAGTTGTCTTTTATCAATTCACGCATCGTCATATGCCGCGTTTGAATATCCACATCGGATGCATCTGAGATGTTGTGAATTTTTATCATGTGATAAAGGATTAGATCTGAATGTAGATGTAATAAACAAACGCTCTAGACTTTATTATTGGTCACGTGATACAATGACCAGTTAGATTATATTCTTTAAATTTGATTTTTGAGACTGGAAATCAACCTAAATTTATATTCTAAACAAAAATTAAACAAACTAATCACTTTTATATTTACGCTAGCACAAACAAAGGATAAATCGATAAACTTGGCTTCACAGAACACCTACTTTCTGACATGGGACGAACACATAGAAATAGTATAGAAAGCCGATTCCATATATCAAAAATGAAACCATAAGGAGAAAATAGTGTGTCGGAGCTCATGCGTATAACGGGGCTGGCGCGAACAGGACCGGTGCAAGTTTTTTATTGATCGAACAAATAGTTCGCACGATATTTCAATCATACATTTTTAGAGATGATTCTATACAAAAAACGATTAAAAAAATTTCAAGTTAAGGTAAATATGGTTCTGACAGTCCTTATTAAGAAAGATATGGCATAAAATATGAATTAGTTAATTTTCGGCAATTATTAGTACAGTAGTCATGAGATTTTGCTTGTGATTTTAAAAATACTTTCCAGAAAAACCACGTGCTCCGGTTTTGACTACGTTTATTATTAAACAGCGAAATTATATACAAAAACTTTAATCCACAATCTAAATTAGGTACTATCACAAGAAAATCACTGTTACAATAATTAATTACTTAACCAAAAACTAAAATACTTTTTAGGTACCTACGTAACCAGAAAGGAGCTGGACCATTTATCCTAATATTTATTTTCTCTCTCCCTACGGTAAAACTTAAAACAATAACAAATTGCCTATCTACTAGGGTCGGTAACTAAACGTATATACATAATGGGCGTATTTTGTTTATACTTAACATTACACTCGCGCATTTAAATATAACTATGCATATAAATATTTACAAACAAAGATACTTTTCCAAAGAGGCAATCATTAGTACTGTAGTCACGAGATTTTGCTTGTGATTTGACATCTTATTTGATAATATCATTTGCTACAACTAAATTTAATCTGGGGAGTGCAAAATAGGGCCCAGGAATATTATGTTCGATATTTTTTTACATTTTGTACGCCGAGACTATGAGTCGTTAGACAGAAAACCTTTCATGTACCATTTTCAATATAAATTAAAAAATTAAAAAATACTACTACATTTACTTGGTACATATTTTATTTTAATTTTGAACCCTTTTAAAAGGTTCTTTCGGTTCCATAATAAAAATTAGTTGCTGCTTACTAGAAACATTCTATATAGCCTAAACCAATTTATAGTTTGTTTTCGATCAATTTAATACAAAGATTTAAAGTTTTTAGTCGATGATAACATTCCACACCAGCACATTGCAAACCTATTTTATAAATAATAGGAATAAACTTGTAAATCATTAATTTGGTAGTTATCTCACTCATATGATTTTTTTGTTTATATGAATATTTCGATTTCTAAATATATTTTGGCCTTACAATACGAAGCGTTTTGTATCTACCACTTTTTTAATGAACGATGAATGTTGACAGGCGTGTACCTTTTTCGGAACAAGAGGCGTTTTAACGAAGGAAATGATTTTCGAGCTATCTAGTTAGTTTTCGGAAAAATAGAAAACGTTTGAAGAAAGTTGTCAATAACAGTTTGTCGTTCATGTGTTTCATTTTGATCAGCTTTCATACTAAATTGCGTAGAATATTTTTCCGATTCAAAATCAAGATTCTCGATATTTCCACAGTTTTTCATACTTTATAATATATGTTCATGCCCTACTTTTCACTTTATTAATAATTTTTTTTTAACATACTTCAAAATGGTAGGATATTCTCAATTCGTTGAAATATTTTTTTATGTATGTTGAGCGATAATTCTTTACCACGTTGCCCGATTTCTAGGATTCTTTTTGTTAGAAAAGGAAACAGTTTTATATACGAAGTCAAGATCTGAAGATGGGATCCATAAGAAAATCATTAACATCTTTATTTTTAAAGTAGGTTTTTTTTTTAAATTTCTTTAAACCTTACTGGTTCGAACGCCGTAAGGAATGAAGAAATGTAAATAATTGTTGTGCCAGCCAAAAAACGAAGAGGAAGTACCGATTAAAATATCGAGTGACAGAAGAGTTCCTAAGATTGTTGAGATCGGGTTTATGTTTTAAAATGCCTTAAAACCGATATCGATAATGTCTCCCCGTCGCTGGGCAGCCTGTATATAAATATACAGATCTCTATTTACATAATTATAATTCTTAGGTAGGTTTAGATTTGCAGACATAAATCTTGTAATAAATATAACAGCTGCCTAATACATTGATTACATTTTCATTAGCCAATGTAAAAATGTCTTTTATTGTACCTAGGATTTGACTAAACACTACACAAAACTAAAAATAAAATGCCACTTTCATCGTGTAATTAATGCCGCGTTTGAGAATCCACATCGGATGCATTTTTTACATCTCGAGCGTTTTTTATCCACATCGGACACATCTGTCCCATTACATTTACGTATACTGAATCACGTGATCAAAGATTTACTACTTACTACATCTCAGATGCATCCGATGTGGATTCTCAAACGCGGCATAAATAATAAACTACAAACGGTCCTGTAAGGGCAGCGTCATATAGCCTTGAAACACCGGATTTTAGTGCTATTGCCAGGTCAATATTGAATTTGTAGGTGAATCGCTTATTGAACATTAAAAATACGGTATTAATGACATTAATACGGTATTTGTATATGTTTTTGGGAATGTAATTACACATAAATATTATTAGTTGATTATTTAAATGTTTATAAGTTATTTTGTGGCGATATTTCGTAGATATAAACTGTTTAAATCATATAATTTAAAAATTAATTAATTTAAAATTCTTTTCCGTTAGGTATGTTTAATATATTTGGCAACACTACAGGGACAAGTCATGCTTATTGCGCAAGCTTCTAGACACACTATTTTGCGATGTCAGGCGCAGAGACGCGTTTTTATGCACAGTAGGTTTCAATTTCTGCTTAAATGTTATGTTTATATTGGTCTTCTATATTATTTCTATGGACGAACATCTAATTCACATCTCATTTCAAATCGAGATGTAAAAAATGTAATCTGAACAGCTACATCTGGGATAAACAAATGCAGATGTAGATGTAGTAGATGTGTCCGATTTGGATAAACAAACGCTCGAGATGTAAAAAATACATCCGATGTGGATACTCAAACGCGGCATTGGTATACCTGGTCTAACTCATTGTAAAGCAGAGGGTCCTCGTTTAATTTGCCGAATTTGTATTTTTTTTAAACATATTTAACAGATTTTCACAATGGAATAATAATTATTTTTTTATTGTTTTTGTAGATAAAATACCCTTATAGCTAATGGGTGGTGTGAATAAAGTGAAGCACTAACTTAAAATATGATTTTTGGAAGAAACTGCTTTAATTCAATTGAATAAAATATGAAGAAATTCCTCGACTAAGTAAAAGCTTGGTTTTTCCGGAAAGCCTAGCAATTCCTTTAAAATGGTGTGAATAAAAATTAGATACTTCTTTATATCTAAGCAACTACTTGGATTTTTTGAAGTCTGGGGTACAGCAGGCTTCATTTATCTAAGTAGTGATTATGGCGATGTTCATGAATGTACGCAACGTTAAAACTTATCGTGAAAGAAGACAAGTAAATTCAAAAGAACTGCTGCGTTTTCAAAACGAAAGTGTTGATTTTTTGACAAACGAATTTTTGCCGGAAAGGGATGAATTTCGTGGTGGTGCGTTGACTTCGAGACAAAAAATGGAGATTCTTTTGCGATTCGTAGGGGACCCAGGTTTTCAATCTGGAATTGCTGAAGATATTGGCGTGCACCGAAGTACAGTGTGTAAAACTGTAAATTTTGTGATGGATCAGATAATTAGAAGAGCTAATGACTGGATCCACTTTCCCTCGACAGCAAGAGAAATGAATGAAGCAAGAGTTTTGTGGCAAACTCGCTTTCATATGCCCTCGGTAATAGGTGCTTTAGATTGCACGCACGTCGAAATAAACAAGCCATCAATATTTGGTGATGAATACGTCAACAAAAAGGGTTACACTAGTATTAATGTGCAGGCTACGTGCGACGCAAGTGAAAAAGTCACAAGCATCAGTGCGGAGTGGGCGGGCAGCGTTCATGACTCACGTATATGGAGGAGAACCCCATTTAGAAACATCCTGTCGAGATTTGATGGTTCTGTTTGTTTACTGGCTGATTCTGGTTATGGAATTTCGCCATGGCTAATCACACCTTTCAAGCCGGCACATACGGAGGCACAAAGGATCTTTAACTTGCACCACTCACAGGAGCGTGTTGTGATAGAAAGGGTCTTTGGACAAATAAAAAGAAAATTTCCAATTCTAGGAAACTGTGTTAGGGTTAATATAGAGAGGGTACCAAAAGTGATTGTAACTTGTGCTATTTTGCACAATATTGCCAAACATCTGAATGATCGGTTCGAATTTGAAGATCAAATAGATGATAACGAAAATATTCATGAAAATGCAAATGCTCCAGATCAGTACGAGAATGCAGCAACCAGATTACGCGGGGAACAAAAAAGACAAGAAATGTTG